CCAAGTGGATGTTAACTCCACGGGTATAAATGTTGTAGTTAAGTCTGCTGTCAGAGATCTCTCAAAAATACTGAAGAGCAATGTCAGTCTTTAGACTAAGGTGCATCTGATTCAGACCATGGTCTTTTCAATCACGTGCTACGTATCTGAGAGTTGGACAATGACTAAGGATGACAGAAGAACTCTCAGCTCATTGTCATCTTGTTGATTCTGATTCTTAGTGGCCCTGTAGAACAGAGCAGAACTGTCCCCTGGGATTTCCAAGGGGAAACCTTAGAGAAACAGATCTTGACATCTACAGAGCAGCTGGCAGGTTCCAACTGCTTAAGTTTTTTTTTTTAAATCAAGACGTTCCTTGGAGGCAAGGGTTTTTTGCATTTATTTTTAAATTGGTTTGCTTACAAAGTTTGCATCAATTATGTCTCACAGTATTCTCTATTCACATTGTGCTTCATACAATTATTGACATGCATTATGTTTTATAAAATTAATCACTATGGGACCTTGCCCATCATTGTCTTTTCATCTTTCCCATTTCCCTCTCCCTCTGCCCACCAAACCATGCAACCCAGTGGTTTTGCCCCTATAAATCCTCACCCCTCTGTTACCACCTCTTCCCCCTTTGAGCTCCCATACATGTTATCCCTCTGTTTTTACAAAATGGTTTTATGCGGTATTTGTCCTTACGGACTGAGCTATTTCACCCAATGTAATGCTCGCCAGTCTCTCCCAAGTTATGTAATATCTTTTGAAATCATTGTTCCTGAGTGCTGCATAATATTTTGCGTGTGAATGTACCACAATTTCTCAATCCATTCAGTTGTGGTTGGACATCTGGGCTATTTCCATGTTCTTGCGAAGGTGAATAACGCTGGTATGAGCACTGGTGTACAGATCTCCGTTTGTGTCTCAGCTCTAATATTTTTTGGTATATTTCTAATAGTGGAATAGCTGGGTATATGGAAGCACCTACTTAACTTTTGATCACTAGCCAAGTGCTTAACCATGGCACTACTAGGTTAAAATTTACAACACCTATTTGATGGACACACTATTCAATCCACGACAATGACCCAGTGGATATTACTTACACGTGCGGTGGCAGCTCGAAGAAGTTGACCCCTTGGTAAAGTTCCATCTGGTTCGCCGTGTAGATTCCAAGCTCTTGATATGGGTTTACAGAAACAAGCAGGGTCCCAATATATGTCTAGAAGAATGGATGGAAGGAATAGTAAGGAATTCCATTATACATATGGCAACGGTCAAAGACTCTATTACATGCTGTGTTCATTCAGTGGTGAGCTGTCCCATGATGGGGTATCTACTTTCGAGGAGCTTACATGGAGCAAGGGATAGACACACACAAAAAGCAAGTCATCAAGAGCTTCAAGTAAAGATGCACGCAGAGAAGATGAAAGACCAAGGAGGACAGCTCCCATGCTTCTAGGCTTCCCACTGGCTTCTTTAAGGAAGAGCTGAGAGTTAAAGGAAAGGCCAGCTGTAAACAAAAATAGGCAGGAAGGACATTTCTTTTTTTGTTTTTCAATATATCTTAATATCACATGTCCTTCATATTTGTTTTAACAATGCATCCCAACATTATTCATAGAAGAGGAAAAATCATCAATACATAGACTTTGTTTTAAAAAATAATATGTAATTTAAAAAAGATGACCCAACAGAGACCTGAAAAGACAGGGTAATGATGGGCAAGGTTCAGTGGTGATAAATTTTATAAAACATAATGAATGGGAATGATTATATAAAGCACAATATGAATGAAGAAAAGTGTGAAACACTATGTATACAAACTTCATAGGCAAGCTAATTTATATATATATTAAAACATATCTTAAAACACTAATATATATCTTAAATACTAATGTAGATATAGATATGAAACAAATAGAACATATTAAGGAAGGACATTTCTGGCTAAAGGGCACATGTGTTTGAGAGTTTTAAACCAGAGGTAGTTCATTTATGTATCTAGAGTAGCCTGAAGGCAGAGCTTTAACTATTTTTTTTAAAGTCTTGACACGAGCCAGAAATCCATGGTGATTCTCAAGACTTGCCATTTCTAACAGCAGGTCTGACTGAACCATGTGCCCTGGAGATAATGTGCCTTTTCTCTGATAACATTCTCCCCCCTTGAGGTCTGATAGATGTAGGATCTCACAATCTATTGTCAAATTGTCTTTCCACGATAATTAAACACACACACACACACACACACACACACACACACACACACACA